ATATATAATATCCGTTGCCGTTGAAATTTGAGCAATTAAAGTACATTTTAAAAATAAAATATAAGACCTAGGCCTATGTATATTTGCACGCTTAGGTCTTAGGCCTACTATATATTTAGATGACAAGGTTATACAATCGTGTAACTATATGGGGTAATTAATTCATATTTTACGAGAATCAAGAGTGAAGTATTTAATCATAGACGTTTTAATAGGCCTCTCTATGGTACTTTTGACAGACATGTTACAGTCAACACAAGACACTTTTAATAGAATATTTGATTTGTATAACTACAATGGTTTTTCACAGTTCACCAACACGCACACTCCCACATTCTACTAAACAGATAAAAAGGTGTATCCGAGCAGAACCAGTTGAATAGTAGTTTTAAACATAAGCCTCCATTTTGTAGCTTTTCAAAGGTAAACAGTCAAGGTAATCTTAATCGGGTATTGTGTAGGTTGTGGTAGGTGAATTGAGGTTTGTGTAGGTGAAGCAGCTGGTGTGGCAAATAAGGGAGAGATTCACAGTATTAAACGGTAACTATATCTTGTCCTGTCTTTACCTTATAAGGTAGGTCCATTTCATTTGTACACCAAGTAGGGCCTAATTTTCTAATTCAGTTATGTTAGGCATAGGTCTATGTACATATAGCATGAATGTTGGTTTTAAAATGCCATTATTATTTTAAAGACGATCATAGTAAGGCCTATTAGTTATCGTTCATAGATTAGTTAGGCTTGCATGTTTTGGTCACGATTAGTGATAGATCATAATAGGCTAAGTGGGACTATACAATCCGTTTGGCAAGTACGTATTTTGACGTTCTAACCAATCACAAAATATATAAATACGCGTGGTTAATATAATGATGAGATTCTTTCAGAGATTCTTCCATTTTTAAACCGTCTTTAAAGTGTCTATATAGGTACCTTATAGGCCAACATGCTTGCTTGCATGCTTATTCACAATATGACCGGTTATCGTACAGTAAATTTTAAGAAATGAATATAGGTTTTATAAGCGAGGTTATTCCAGTGCGTGTGGCGAGTGTTATCATTATCATTACTCATCACTATTACTACTACTATTATTATTATTATTATTATTATTATTATTATTAATTATTATTATTTATTATTATTATTAATTATTATTATTTATTATTATTAATTATTATTATTTATCATTATTATTATTATTTATTATTTATTATTATTATTTATTATTTATTATTTATTATTTGTTATTATTATTATTATTTATTATATATTATTATTTATTACTATTTATTATTATTTATTATTATTTATTATTATTTATTAATTATTTATTAATTATTTATTATTATTTATTATTATTTATTATTTATTATTATTTATTATTATTTATTGTTTATTATTATTTATTATTATTTATTATTTATTATTTATTATTATTTATATTTATTATTTATTATTATTATTATTATTTTTATTATTATTATTATTATTATTGTTATTATTATTATTATTATTATTATTATTATTATTATTATTATTATTATTATTGTTATTGCCGGAAGGCAGGGCATGGTCAGGGTTCGATGTGCAGCAAGTGGAATTTGAAAGTATTATCATATTCCACTGTAAAACAATCGTAATCGATAATTATATTTCATTGTAGGATTAGAACCTGCTGTTAAACAGGCATCTTGATGCTCCGAATCGGCATTCCAGTGAATATAAATGATTTCATATAAACTCGCAATGAAAACCTTATAGAAGTTTTTTGATTATGATTATGATGATGCTGAGAAGGAGGAGGAGGACGATGGTGTTTATAATAAATTGATGTGTTAATATTCGGCCTAATAATTAATATTAGATTGATGATGACACTCTCTTAATGGAAAAGTGTATACAGTGATCACTCTAATTTTGCTCACGTGGGAACATTCACTCTTCTATGAGTGAATATTATTCTTAAAATATAAATCTGCCAAAATGTTTCTCAACGAAAATGTTGAGATTCATTAAATTCGATTGTTTTTATTTCTTTTTGAGTTCAAACTTAGTTTATGTAAACCTATTCAACATGTTTTAATAGTTTAGTGGTGTTTATTAAATTTATCTAGTATGGTATGAATAAATTATAACGCTTAGTTTTAGAAATAATGGCGTTCTAACTATTTGTAAATAATAATAACAATAATAATTATCAATTATTAATAATTATAATTTTATTGGTAATTTTAATACGAATTGTTAATTTGTATTTTTAATATCTAACTTTTCATCTATTTGTAATATAAAATTTATCATTTTAATTTCAATATTTAATTAGTAATTGCTTTAAGTTTATTTTCAAATACAGTATCAAATTCTATTTTATTAACTATTTGTAATTCAATAATAACAAATAATCATAATTGTGGTAATAATATGAATAATTTTATTCAAGATTATGAATAAATATTTGTATGAATACTATGAACATTATGAATTCTTTTTTGTAAATTTTTGTAACTTTGTAATTCAGTAATAATAAATAATGGTAATAGTGGTAATATTTAAAATAATTTTAACTTAATACTGATATTTAACATGAATATATTTTTGTACTCTTTGTAAAATGATTTTCAATGATTTTTTTTGTGTCCTAAATGTTTGTCCTAAAAGATTGTCTCTCTTCATTTAATAATCTGAATGCTTATTTTTGTTGCTTGCATTGCATTTGTGTTTTTTGTGAACTCACTAGCTTGCCCTCTGGGATTGTTTTAAGATTATTTTTATCAAATGAATGATATTAAATTAAAATAAAAATAATAGTTAATATTAAACTTCGTTGTTCTACACCAACCGGTACTCAATCCCCGGCCCGCGGGCAAATCCGGCCTGCCAAAGATTTTGATCCGGCCTGCGAAACATTGCTAAAAATAATTCATTTTCCGGCTGATTTTTAAAGAGTTTTTCTGTTTAGAGAAACACCACCTAGGCACCACCACTCTAGCATTGTTTACGAGAGTGTGGCTTTTTCTGAGTTACCTCACTGTATCTATAGTCTGGCAGCTTAGCAGATGGATGTGGACGTTCCGGACAAAAGCACAAATTTTGTATGGTCATAGCATTCAATTTTTGGTAGGAACCACCTCATCCGATTTCAAAATGGCCGCCCAATAAAACCTATGTTTATCTATATTTATGCTTCTAAACCACTTGGAATTATAATTCTAATGTCTGAAACTATTTTTATATGGTCAAGGAATACCATCATATCATTTCTGACCTGGTCAGATTGCCACAAATAGGTCATTTAAGGTCAAATATTGTATGGTATCTTAAAAATTACATAATTGTCATATTTTACATTAGAACCATACCCTGACTCTCAGAATTCAAAATCTTTACTATGAACTACAATATTTCATTCGAGGTCATTCTGGCGGCCATCTTGAATTTCAAAATTTCTGCCACGCAAATCCTATATTTATCAATATATCGGTTTTTAAACCACTTTAATGAGAATTATGATATCTAAAATTATATTACATGGTCAAGGATTTATAACACTTGTGACATGGCAAGGTGGTCATTAAGATCATAAAAGGTCATTTAAGGTCATTCAATGTATATACCATACCATTACCATTTTTTACCTGGTCAGATTGCCACAAATAGGTCATTCAAGGTCAAATATTTTATGGTATCTTAAAAATTACGTAAGGCATGTATTACATTAGAACATTAGAATCATATCCATACTCTCAGAATATATATATATATATATATATATATATATATATGTTTAATACGGTATATATATATGTATATATGCATATGTATATATATAGTAATGTATAATTTTCAGTGACATTAATATGCTTTAACTTAATTTTTATATACTTTTATCGTCACTAAACTCACTGTATACAATAATTTCTTTATATATATCATTAGATATACATATAATAAAGTATATACCTATATATATAAACCTATATATAAACAAATAGCAATAAGCATTACTTCTATCATTTACTTATTGACAATGTTTATATAAATATATATATATATATATATATATATA